TTGTGTTCAAATGTGGCCTCAGATACCAAGTGAGCTGTGTAACCCTGGGCAAGTCACTTAACCCTGTTTGCCTCAGTTCCTCATCTGTAAAATGAGCTGGAGAAGGAAATGGCAAATGACTCCAGTATCTTTGCCAGGAAAACCCCAAGTGGGGTCATGACTGCACAACAACAACCTTTATGTTCAGTGGCATTACATTTTACAATACCAACACTAAACTAAAATAACTCTTTCCTTCATTTGTCAACTTACGCCCAAATTTTATTAAAAGATGGATTTAATGCAAACATAAGTGCACCCCAGCTTTCTGGGGCAGAATGTTTTGTAGCTGCTGGGTTTTTTTTTTAAACTGTATCTTCTCAGTAAAGGCCTTTGCTAAGAGCTAATTGTGTCTACTAGCTGATTGTTAATGGGAAACATGCCAGTGGAGACTCATGAACTCTACTTTAAAACTCTCAGTTTTAGAAGTATAGGCCCACAGGGGTACCACAAGAGCCTGAAATAGCAACTGACTATGAGACAGCCCAACCCATGAGATAAAATTCAAGCTTGGGAAGTTGCTTCTGAAAGAGCGATACCCTGACACTAGCTTTCTCCAGTTAGGTGGCCCAAGTGAACAGAGAAGTGGACATGCAGTCAAGAAGATGTGTGTTCAAATGTGACCTCAGAGACTTAAACAACTGTGTGACCCTTGGCATGTCGACAGTTGCCCATTTATAAAATGGAAGTAACAATAGCATCTCCTTCCCAGAGGATTCAGAGTTTTAAGGGTAATTTAAATTGTAAGGCTCAAATGAGGCAATATTTATAACGTGCTTTGCAAACCTGAAAGCACTATATAAATGCTGTTATTACATTATGACATTTGAGTGATCCCACCCCATGCAGAGAATAGTACCACCCCTGACATCAAATCTGTTGTCAGAATTCTCAGCAAGCCAAGTCTCTCTGAGGGCCCAAGCTAGCCCACGTGAATTGAAGTTTCCATCTTTTCTCTTAGTACATCATTTCCCTAAAGGCTCCTGAGTGCATGAATTAAAGTTTACAAAGAGTTAAAAAGAAAAATAAAGTTTAAAAGATAAGAAGGCAAAAAAGAAAAAGGATTTTTTTTATCTGGCGGTATTAAAATATTCTTGACTTTTTCAGGGAGATAGATGTAGCCAATCAGGTATAAAACAAAAACTTAGGAAGAAGACCTGGAATGCATTACCTACTTTACCATTAATTAGCTGTATGACTTTAGGCAAATCACATATTCTTTGGGTCAGTTTTCATCTGGAAATTGGGCCTAGATGATCTCTAAAGCCTCTCCCACCTCTAAAATGTTATAATCTCAATCATCAAATCAAGTCATAGAGAATTCTCCCTTTCTGACAAATACCAGCTCATTGAAGACAATCCTATACTAAGAACATAAGTGTCTGCGTTGTTACTTAAGAGGTGAAGATGCTAACATGACTTAATAACCAGGAGAGTGTTTCATTAAGATGGCTCCTTATTCAAGCTAATTAATTAAGATGTGACTTCTTATAATTCATCAACTTGTCCTTACATTCTCTTTATTTTTGAATATAAAGAAATAAAACTACAAGCTAGGGAGTCTAGGTTGTAGGGAAATCTGCTTCCTTTTCTCTAGCTACCCAGGCTTCTTTCCTGGAAGTATCAAGCACTTACTATGAAAAAAATGTGGCTGGAGAAACAGCAGGCATCAAAATTAATTCTGTTAAGAATCCAAAGATCCACTGATCTGGCAGAGGTCAGGACCTCTGAATTTTTCTTCTTCCTTAAGAATCTCACCTCTATTACATGCAACATCAACAGCTCACCAAAAAATAGTCTGTTTGGTTCTGAAAATACAGGCACCATTCCCAACTGCTGGTTAAATAGGAGTTTGAATTTCAGCATCACATTTTAAGGCAAATACATTCAGAACAAGTTAAATCAAGAGCTGAAGTAGAAATCAGTTTGCATTCCAAAGGGGTCTACAACACACCTGTGTAAATATCTTCCCTTTAGGAAAGCACATACCACATTTCTAAATATAGCTAGCATTTATACTGCACTTTAAGATTTGCAAAGGGCTTTACAAATTAATATCAGATCCTCACAACACCCCTAAGAGATAAATGGTATTATCATGCCCTTATTACAGATGGGGTAACTGAGGCAGGCAGATTAAGTGACTTGCCCAGGATCATACAGCTAGTTTAGTGTCTGAGGCTGGATTTGAACTCAAGACTTCCTGAATCCAGGTCCAGCACTCTATCTACTTCGCTACCTACCTAACTTCTCCAGTACCTTAGGGATGGAATGGACAAACAATTGGCACTAGTTGTCAAAGACCTAAGCTCTAGTCCAGGTCCTGCAATAGGCAGCTTTCCATAAGTTTCATCCCTGTCTAAGTACCACCTCTCCTAAGTAAAATGCAGGACTGAACTATATATTCTCTGGACTCCCATCTGAAATTTTAAATTACCCTTAAAACTCTGAAAGACAAAAAAGCAAGCTACTTTAAAATCTGACCTCTTACAAATAATGAATCATATTTTATTTAGGCCAAATTAATTATACATCATTAAAGGAGGGGTTCTTTTCAGCTTGCTAATTAGCATGTAAAAGGCCTCCACCTATATAAAATAACTGCTTAAATTCCCAAAATGGCCCTGGGCATCTATTACATGATAGAAAAAGCGAAAGAAATTTTACTAAGCGCTCTTGGAGTCATCTCTAAATTTTTTTTAAATTTTGTCCGGACCATATATAATTGTTTTTTCACACACACACACACACACACATACACACACACCTCTATAGTAATTTTCTGCACTTTCCATACTATTCCATACAGTATTAAACATCTCAAACCTTTCCCCTTGATTACACAGGTTTGCCACAAATCAGATAATTAACTAGCTTTCTAGAAATGGTATAACTTCAATCAACTCAGTTATGGTGGGATAGTGTAGAGAGAGGGAAAGAAAATTCATCCTTTCTTCTCCCATTCCTCCCCTATCCAAACTCCAGGCTCCATTCATTAATTCAAACAAGTCTTTACTAATCACTGTTCCTAAACAACCTTTGTACTTTCCTGCTTTCAAAGCTTTTCTTATGAATTTCCCTCTTTCAGGAATGCCCCCTCTACCCATCAAAAACCTCAGCTATTCTTCAAAGACTATATGCTACTTCTTCCCATAACACTTCCTTGAGGACCCCAGCCAAAGTCAACCCACCCTCTGAGGTTAACTATGACTGTAGCATGAATATGATGATATAAATGGACATCCTGACAAGAAATATCGGACCTGAAAGGGCCCTTGGATACCATCCTAAATCCCACTTCCCTTGCTTGACAGATAAGGAAACTGAGACCCAGAAAGATATAGTGGTTTGCCAACAGTGACATGACTAATTAGTGACAGAGATAGAAAAAGGGCCTGGATTCCTAACTGGTAGTCAACAGCCTTTCAATAAACCACACCAGCCTCTCTTTCACATCCAGGGCCCTACAAGGTGATTTGTACCAGTAGATACACATTTAAATACAATCAATATTTGTTGACTTGAATGAATGAATGCATGGAATCCATTCACATTAGAAAAACCATTCAGATCGCTAGTTTAAACTTGCGCGTCTCCCAAACTTTCTAAAGCTCCTAACAACTTATAAAAGCGGTCTTATTTAAGTTTCCCTGATTCCCGTCTCCAGATGCTAATCAGTTATGAAATGATCAAAAGACAGAAAAGAGTAAGGAAAGAAAGGAAGACAAGGGTCTGCATGGATGAATAAAGAGAGGCTTGGTTGGTTTTTGGTTGCTATTTTTAAAAGGGTGTAAGGAAGGGGCTGGAGCGAGAACTTGGAAGAAGAATGTCAGCCAGCACCTCCAGTACCACAAGACTGCCGCAGGACCCAGGAGAGGAAGGTACAAAAAGATATTGCAGGCAGGAAAAAAAAAAAAGCTGTGTACTGGGGGCGCCATCCTGTGGCCCAGCTGGACCCCCTGAAACCACCTGGAATTCCTACAGAATCAAAATCCCCATGTCAGAAGCAATAAGGGAGGGAAAGTTTCCCTTGCAACACTATTTCCAGGCTTAGTGACTGGAGGCTACACACAGCTGTCTGTGTTCCCCAATTTTTTCCAAGATCTTCTGGAAGGGAAGAAAGAGGAGCAAAAGGGGATTGGGGGAAAGGGAGTGAAAGTAAGAAATGTTCTTCCAAAGATTTTCCTGCTCCTTTGCTGAATGAGTGTAAGGAATGCCAGCCTCTCCTAACCACCAGGATAAAGACAGAGAAGAGAAAGGGCTCCCCCACTGGGGCACGTCCGGGAGCACCTGGAGGGTGTGAGACTGCTCACATTTTAAAGAGGGAAAGAAGACAGGAGGCTGACTTGTGCGCCCTTACCGTTCAGATTTCTAGGAGCCTGGAGCTGCGAATTTGAGTAGTGGTAGAATCTTGTTTTTGTTTTGGGATGGATATGGGAGGGGTTGGTTTTCGTTTTCTTTTTTTTTTGTTTTGGTTTTTAATTAAAGATAGAAGGGGTGCTCGTCTACACTCTGAAGCTCGAGGGTAGGGGGAGCCTTTTCAATACACAGTAAGTCCAAGTGTATTCCTGCCCCCCTTCCCCTCCACCCAAGTCATCACCTACGTAAGACCTTTTTTGAGCAAGGAAGAGCCTCAGACCTTTCCTCCCGACACACCCTTACGGTGACAAGTGAAAACAGCAGAATTCCTTTCTCTTCCACTCCAAACTTGCCCCCCCTCCTTTCTGGGGTGGTGTTTAAACAGGATTTCCTTACTGGCTTTTTTTTTTCCTATCCTTCATTTTTTGCAATGGTCACGGCCTTCCTGAGAGAGACCAAGGAGGACTATGTGGAACACGCTACATATGAAAGATTGAGCGAGCTGCAGGGTTTTAGGACAGGAGGAGAAAGGGGTGTGTGTAGATGAAAATCGGGACCCTGGCGTACCCCCATCCCCCCTTTCCCCAGGCAGCTGCACTTACCTCGTCCACGGTCAGAGGCATGCATATCCGGTACTCCTTCAAGAGCATATTCTTGCTGTCCCGGGGGTTGGTGCAGAGCAGCGAACCTCAGAAGAACCTCGCCGGGCGGGCGAGTTCGAGTTCTATCTGCACCCTCTCCGAGGCGAGGCAGGCCCCCCGAAGCAGGCACTGGGGGGGGCAGCCCCCCAGGCAAACCAGCTTTCTCAAACACGGGCGAGACCGAGTGCTAGCATACAGACACCCAAGCGCTGCCCGGAGCAGAAAACAACACCCCCCCCCCCGACCGTTCGGAGCTGCTGCTGCTGCTATTGCTGCTGCTTCTGCTTCCTTCCTCCTCACGCGGAGAGCAAGTCAAGGTTTGGGTTCGTGGGTTTCCCCCTCCCTTTTTTCCCCTCTAAGAGGTTCCCCCCCACACTCTCACAACGCGATGTGGCCAAAATCGCAAAGGGAGGGGAGACCCGCTCGAAATAGCTCGGGATTAGCAGCCAGGGCTGTAAAAGGGGGCGATTGAGATCAAGACCTGCCCGACACCCGGGGAGGAGGGGGAAGGAAATACAAAATTTTCTAATTTAAATTAATGCACAAAGCTCCCCCCCTCCCCTTCCAAAAACAAAATCCACCAATTCACCTCCTCCCGCCCCCCACCCCTTTTCCCCAGTCTTTCCAAATGTTAATGTCACCAGGAGCCCATTGCAGCTGAAGAGAAAGGAGAGAGATGCTGACTTCACCAGACAAAGGCTTGATATATTTTTCTCCTCGGGCGGTAAACAAGATTTCCAGTCCCCGTCCCCCCCACCCCAGGCAACTCCCGGTTTAGCTAACGCCGGGGTTGAAAGGAGGAACAATCCCCGCTTAGCATTGCTTTGCTCCTAGGTTCCCCCAACCGCTGTTTCTGGAGAAGGGGAGGGCGGGAAGGAGCTGCCTTTTTTTTTTTCCACGCCTCCTCCTCCCCCCTTCTCCCTCCCCGGGGCTCGGTGCGTGCCTGGGAGTTTGTATCCACCTGGACTTGGGCTGGAGAGTCCCGGCTGCAGCCTGCAGTACGCTCCTGCCCGGGCTAAGTGGGAAAGGGAGCGTAGGTCTGACATCAGCAGCAGCGGGGAGGATAGCCCCATCCGGCCAAAGGGGTTATAGTACAGCAAGGAATGTGGAGGATTAAAACCAAACAGCTTGTCACTCGGAGGCTGCTGCCAGCTACCTGAAGCAGAGCTGCCCCGGAGCTGAAGAGCTCAGCTGGGAGGGGGGGAGGGTGTATGGGGGGAGCACTCTTATTCTTCTTGAGTCTTCCCTGGCTCTTCACCCATCGGATCACATTGCTGGGCCCCAAGGTGGATGTTTCCGAAAACTCTGATTTTTTGTAGATCTACTTTGGGAAAGCTTCTGGAGCATATAATATCCTTAGGTGAAATTCTCATCTCTTCCCAATTCCCAGAACTAACATTTTCACTGCTCCAACCAGAAATGTGGTTTGCTAAACTAATCCATTCCATAGAGTGGTGACAAATTAAGGGAAGGAAAGAGACTAGCATGGAGTAGGTCCTGGAGAGAGAAGGCTAGAGATGTAAATTGGGTCCAAATTAATGGAATGCTTTGAATGCCAGGCTAAAGAGCTTGGGCTTCATTTGTACTGGCATTTATATAACACTTTAAAGTTTGAAAAAATACTTTACCTACCGCTTCTTCCTTGAGACAATTGAGAAGATATGGAAGGTTCCTGCACTGGAAATAGTATGATTGATCCCTGCTTTAGCAAGGTGATTCTCACCATAGTAAAGAAAATTATTTGCAAGGAGAAAAAAGTGGAATGAGTAACTTGGGAAATGATCATGAATTAAATTGTGTTGCAAGCACTTTTTCATTTATCGTAGATTTAGAACTGGAAGGTAGGTAGGTCATTGCATCCATTTACAAATGAGGAAACTGAGGTTGAAAGATTAGATGACTTGGCTACAGTCACACAACCATTAATGCCAGAGGTAGGATTTGAATGGATGCCTTCCTGACTCCAAGCTCTGCTGCGCCACCTAGCTGCCTCTTCTTAGTAACAACTGGAAAGAAAGTAAAATCTCATTGGGAACAGATTGTGGTACCTGAATGCAATGGCATATTATTCGCACAGAGGAACGATGAATATGAAAAATAAAGTGAAGGCTGAGAAGACATAAACAGATGTAAAGTGAAGCAAACAACCAGGAAAACAATGTAAGCAATGATTACAACTATGTAAACGGGAAGAAGAGCAACAGAAATCAAAACTGTCATGGTAACAGGCTGCATTTGGCCCCAAAGAAGAAAGATGAGGATGTAGCTTCCTTGGCAGAAGGGGTGAATTATGAATGTGGAATACTGCCTATGCTGTCAGATTTGATTGATGGTTAACTTGCAAGAAATGTTATTTTCTCCCCTCATTTTAATTGTTTATTATTAGGGATGGCTCTCCAGGTGGCGAGAGGGAGAGACACATTGGGAAATAAAGTGATATATAAATAAAATTTTAAAATGACAAATTGTATTGCAAATCCTGAGACACAACAGCTAGGAGGGAGGGAGAGACTCATACCTATTCTTCCACACTTTGGTAATCAGACTATAGGCTTTGCAGAACAACCAAAATAGGTTTTCATGTCAGCATTCTAAGTTCAAAAAGTCACAGTGAAATGTCAATGAAAATGCCTGGAGTGTTGGTATTTCATCCATATTAAATAGATCCCTTATTTTAACCACAAGAGGCACATTCTTCAGTTACTCAGGAAGCAGCATGTAGCTGCTGAAATCTGTTTTTCATTTGTCTGGTATTTGAAAGCTTGTTTTTTCTGAACAGTTACTGGATGGGCTGACTGAGTTTTCCACTGACATCCCCTGTGTAGAATGAAATATGAATTTTAATTAGAAAGGTATTAAGTCACTTGAAATACTGCAAACATCCAAACTGTATAGGACATAATATAGATGGCTTCTTCATGGTATGTTTAATCATGATTAATGGATGATTAACTATAAAAAGCCAATAGGTTATTTCTTAGCATTTTCTGTGCCTTTTTCTATCAGTGTCATGATTTATGCAAAAATAAAAGAAGGCTGCACCAGGGAATGAGGATCACTTTATATTTTTCTTTTGTTTCGTGGGTTCTCATGGCCAAAGACTTCATCAACCAGGAGGCCATCCTGTTCTTTGAGCCTCTTCATCCTGAGCTAGGGTGGTTCTTAGAAGCAGACCGAAAATCTCCCAGAAACAAAGGTCCATTTTTTAAAAAATACTAATGTTCTATTGGTGGTTCAAATCATAGAAATCAGGTAGCTGGAATGGCTATGTACCACATAGAAAAAAATAGAGAAACACATGGTGGATGTAACCAGACTGCAACATATTACAAATTAAAAACTTCAAAGAAGAATGGGAGTAGAGGATGCCATCAGTGAAATGTATTGTGAAAGGTGAAACACTTTTTTTTTTAACATATAAGCTGGGCTACTTTTTTAAGCAGGGTAAAGAGGCTATTTTGCTTTTTGCTGCCTGAGGTATACAAAGCGCAGCCCAGAGGGAGAATTAATACAGAAGCTTCACCTTTCTTTTTGCTTCTCTCTAGGGAATTCTCTTCTGGCTATGCTGATCCTGCAAGAAGAGCTGAGAGTTGTTTTAACCATATGTGTATGTGTGTATGTATGTGTGTGTATGTATATATATACACACACACACATGTACACACACATATTTTTTTTTTGGCAAGGCAGTTAGGGTTAAGTGACTTGCCCAGGGTCACACGACTAGTAAGTGTCAAGTATCAGGTCACATTTGAACTCAGCTCCTCCTGACTCTAGGGCCAGGTGCTCTATCCACTTTGCCACCTAGCTGCCCCACCTTATATTCTTTCTAATGGATTCTTTTAACCTCTTATTTAGTACAGTGATTATTAATTAATTTAATTGCAGTTTTTATGCTATGCTAGTGCTTGCTGCATTTTTAAAAATCTTTAACAAACTTTAGGCCTGATCAAAAAGGAAGGTTTGCTGCTCATGTGTTCAGAGCAAAAGTTAACAGCTGGAGGGATGAAATGTTCCACTTCCTCAGGGTATCAGGAGAAAGCAAAGAAAGCCCTCAGCATGTTGCGTTGACTACCCTTACACTACCACCACCACTACCGCCCCCACGCCACCATGTTAAACTTATGGGAGGCAGTGGACAAGAGTACCAAGGATGCTCAGGCATGGGTGGTTTATGATCTGTCTCATTGGTGAGCACATCCAAATCAATGAGACCTCAGAAGTCATCTGAATATTGGCATATTAATTCTCCTATGTAATAATAATGGACTTATGATATAGATTCTACATAAGATTAGCAAGAATTTATTGTTATGCTTATGTGATCCAGAGCCTGCTAGAAGAATATAGCACCTGTTATCCAGCAAAATATCCATGGTTCTTTATATTTTTCATTTTAGTGAAAACTTTAATTTTCAGGTAAATGTCCCCCAGATTTGGATAAGAAATATTCATAGTAACTAAATTAAAGCTAAGTCAAATTGCTTGAGATAGAAAATCTAAATTTGACAGTGTAGTGCTGAAAAATAACATCGAAAAGCTATGATATGGAAAGAATCTAAGCTGTTTTCTTTCTTTTCCTCCTTCCTTTCTTCCTTCTTTCCTTCCTCCCCCAGTCCCTCCCTTCTTCCCTCCCTCCCTCTTGAAAACAAATATAATGCCTTCATTTCTGGCACCTAGATTTCTTTTTAGAAGCATCATTGGAATCTTTCAGAACACCAAAAGATTAGACATCAGGATCTGTGCGGTCTATTCCAGTCTTAATGTGTCTATAACCATAGCCAAAGCTGATAAACTTACTGTCTGCCTCGATTTTCCCACACATAAAATGGATTATGAAATTACTTTGCTCCTTAGTTCAGAAGCTTAAAGAATAAGATTAACTATGACTGAGAGATAAAATAGACCTTTTTTTACTTTCTAATATATATTTATTTTTAGTTTTCAATATTCACTTCCACAAGTTTTTGAGTTCCAAATTTCTCACCCCTCCCCCCACCCCAAGATGGCATGCATTCTGAATACCCCTTCCCCTGGTCTGCCTTCTCTTCTATCTCTCCCCCTCCCTTCTCTTATCCCCTTCCCCTTCTATTTTCCTGTAGAGCAGGATAGACTTCTGTACCCCCATTTCCTGTATTTCTTATGATAAAATAGACCTTTTCAGTTACATGAAATTAAAAATCTTTTGCACAAACAAAATCAGTGCTGCTAAGATAAGAAAGTAAACTATCAATTGTGGGGAAAATTTTTTTCATCAAATATCTCTGGTAAGGGTCTGATACCTAAAATATATAAGGAATTAATCCAATTAGGTAAAACTGAGAGCCATTCCCCAGTAGTAAGTAGTCCAAAGATATGAACATACAATTATCAAAAGAATTACAAGGTGTAAACTACTATATGAAAGATTGCTCAAAACCACCAGTACGAGAAATTTCAAATCAATTCAGGTTTTATCTCACACCCTTCAAATCAGCAAAAATGACAAAATATGGAAATAGTCAGTATTGGGAAGGTAATAAGCATTTATATAGTGCCTATATATATATATATATATATATATATATATATGCCAAGCACCATGCTACTTATTTTTCACAAATATTCACAAATTTTTCACAAATTCCACACATCCCACTTGATCCTCATAACAACCCTGAAAGGTAGGTGCTTTTATTATTCCCATTTTATAATTGGGGAAATTGAGGCAGAGTTTGAAGTGATTTGTCCAAGATCAAATAACTAGTAAGTGTCTAAGGCCCGATTTGAACTTAGGTCTTCCTAAGGAGCTGCAGGAGGACAAGTACCCTAATACACTGTTGATGGAGTTAGAAATAGGTCCAACCATTCTCAAAAACAGTTATAAGTAACGCTTTAAAATAGTGACAGAAATGTCCATACCCTTTGGTCAGGAAATTGTTTTTGTAGGCACACACCTGTGGATTCAAAGAGGGAGACTATATTTTTCCTCTCTTGACATGAATGATTCCAATTTTAAATTAACCTTACTTTCTGTGTAAAATGAATCAGGGGCAGCTAGGTGGCACACTGGATAGAGCACCAGGCCTGGAACCTGACTCCTCTTCCTGAGTTCAGATCTGTCCTCAGACACTTACTGTGTGACCCTGGACAAGTGACTTAACC